CGAACCAACCAGATATCGTGATCATAGATAAAGGGCAGAGGAAAGCCGTTGTCGTGGATGTAGCGGTCCCAAGTGATGGAAACATCAGAAAGAAGGAACACGAGAAACTCGAGAAATACCAAGGGCTCAGAGAGGAGCTGGAGAGAGCCTGGAAGGTAAAGGTGACAGTCGTGCCTGTGGTGGTCGGAGCACTTGGGGCAGTGACCCCCCAAACTAGATGAGTGGTTGCAACAGATCCCGGGAACAACATCGGACATCTCAGTCCAGAAATGTGCAGTGCTGGGAACAGCAAGGATACTGCGCAGAACCCTCAAGCTTCCTGGCCTCTGGTAGAGGACCCGAGCTGAATGAGGGATGGACACCACCCGAGGGGTGAGACGAGGATTTTTTTTTTTTTACACACACACACACACACACACACACACACACACACACACACACACACACACACACACTAATATAAAATTATTTGTGTGGGACAAATAAAGGATATCTTATCTTATAATACAGCTTTATTTATTTCAAGCCTTCATAACCGCTGCAGTTGTAACAAAGCGCTTTGCAGAACATTTAAAATACTATAACCAAGAAATCAGAATCTTGATCCATGTATAAAGCGAATTGGATTATAAGGCGCACTGTTGGCTTTTGAGAAAATGGAATGCTTTTTGATGTGCCTTGTAGTGCAGAAAATACGGTATTTTTCAGCATTAACGGTGGCTTTACAGATATGCAAGTTAGCCATGCCGTAGGCATGAAACCCTCCATACCATCGCAGATGCTGTGAGAGACAGCTTAGTGTTTGTCACAAATTTTGTGAGTTATTGACGTGTGTCATATACACCAAAAAAACAGTGTTTGCATTGTTGGTCGCTTTTGCCCACAATTTGAATCAAGGCCAATGAAGTTAATTCACAAGAAAGTTAAATGAAGGCTTCACACCTAAAGGCTCTTGAAATTTAATTTGTATCCAACTGATGAGGTACAATAGGGAGACGAAACTTATTTCGCCAATTCCGGTACATTTTAAGGGTCCTAATTGTACATGAAAAATGATGACATTGTCAAATTCATGAAAGACAAAATATTGGTGGTCACGACTCACACTGAGACTTTGTTGTTGACTGGGCTGCGGGTTAGCCAGATCTCCAAAACCGTTGATGTCACAAGACTCTTGAGACGTTGCTATTTGGTCACTTGGGGTCACTGATGCACTTGAGTGTTTTTTCTGTGCACAGTTTAATTGTTTATGAGATGAATTCTGATTCAATCTTAATTTAGCATCAGTTGAATCCTTATTTTTAGGCTTGGGATCCACAGTATCGTCCTCATCGGAGGAGTCCGTATCTGATGAGGACGGGGAACATTTCTTGGCAGGAAGAGTTCTTGAAGGTATTTTGGAGGCAGAAGACACTTTTGCAAGAAGAGAAGGGCCTGTTGCGTTTGGGGCGTCATCTTGCACACAACCGTTCCTATTGTAACTTGGCGATTGGGTATTCTGCGATTTTGATTGGCGTGGGATTTTCTTTACCTTGGAGTTGGGTTGGTCTTTGTGATTTGGGGGGAGAGAAAATGCTGGGTGGTCGGTGGCAATCAGACCATTTCCCTCGACCTTCTGTCTTTTCTTCTTTAACCGTTTATTTTTTAGATCATTGTGTTCCTCCAAAAGAGGTCTCTTATTGATGTCCACTTCCAGAATCTCCTCACAGTTTTTCTTCCTCTTTTTTCCCATCCATTCCACACACGTTACCTTTTCGCCACTAAGGTTGGGCTTGTTAAGTCTCTGTCTCGATTTGCAGTTTTCACTTAGTTTCCCATTCAGGTGAGACACGCAGTCCACTTTCACTCTAGAAAATGGAAACAAAGCATGTACAAATCAAATCAATGCACAAAACATGACATTCTTTATAACTCTGAAAATAACTGAAATGTTGATCATTCACATCACCCCTAACAATACCATTTTATGCTACAGCTTGACTTTTTTATATGCTACTTTTTAGCACGAAGATTACAAGTTGTTCTTCATTTTTTTAACCCACTGAATCTTTTTTTTTTTTTTTGTCATAGCAATTGCCCATAATTCTATAACCTCTTTGCAGTGTTGCCCGCTGACCTGATTATTGCGGTTGGTAGCATTTTTAAACATCATGTGTGAATACCAAGTTATCACTCTGACAAAATGATGTGAAAATACAGTGAGTGCATACCTCATAGCAACCATTTCACAACCATAATTATGAACTTCTCAAGGGGCAATACTATAGAAATGGCACTTTAAATAAGTGCCGGTGCACAGCTTGTGAAGCACAAGAATACTATCGGTTCACGGTCCTAAGAAAATAAGATTGTGGTTGCAAATCCAGATACACTGTGCAGTATTTTGGAATTGTATTGTTTTTTAAATGTGTGATATAAACAAAGTGGGATGGATTGACTTCGGATTGGGATTTCGGAGGAAAAGATATTCTTATCTAGTCACACTGATGGGGACAACACATACATTTATAGTACCTTCATGACAGATTACATGAGTGTTTTCCAAAAGACTGCCGTGCGTTACTGTATACCAATTGCTTCTACAAGCACCAAGAAATCTAATGTTTTTTTTAAAGGCATTAAAAAACTCACCTGAGGCGGTCGTTATCCCGTACAACATAAATGCTTTCCGTGTGTAGCAGATAGCAATCATCTATGAAGAGGTTGATAATGCTTTGACGACTAAACTCAAATTTATCTCTGATGATGCTCTCCAGATCGGACACCATGCGGCACGTGTTTAAATCCACAAGCAGCCAGCACATGCGACAATCCACGACTGCTGGTGGAGGATAGTCAAAGTGCAAACGTACGCGGATGTGGTTGCTACAATGTGCAGCCATGTCTGTTATGGTTATGTTTGCAATCTGCCTAAAACTTCAGTGGAATTCATTATAACGCGTTGAGTGCGAAGAAGAAGAAGAAGAAGAAGAAGTAGAAGACGAAGAAGAAGAAGAAGAAGAAGAAGAAGAAGAAGAAGAAGAAGAAGAAGAAGAAGAAGAAGAAGAAGAAGAAGAAGAAGAAGAAGAAGAAGAAGAAGAAGAAGAAGAAGAAGAAGCTGAAAGGATGAGGAGGTGGAGGAAAAGGAGGAAGGGGCGGGGAAAAAACAAGAAGTAGTCAGCTGACGCTGAGTGTTATCACTTACTTTTATGTTTAGAAAAACTACACCGGGAATCTTTCAAAGAAGTGAGCCACAAATGGGCCAATGCCGGGCAACCTCTGTTTTGCTTTTATTTGCCCTTACTGCCAGCAAAGGTATGGTCTCGTTTTTCTATCGTTTCTTTATTGAATATATTCGAACTTTTAGAGCCTCTAACTCAAATCAACTTTATTTCAAGGGCATTTCAAAACAGAACACAAAAAAACTAAGACAGCTAAAACAATTACCTTGAAACACAAAAACAATACCGAATCGAAAGCCAAATAAAATGTGTTTTCAGACGAGATTTCAAGATGGACTGATAGGGCTAATCGAGGCGATAACGCAAACACAGTAAACGTTAACAATTTCATTGATATGGATAGTTGAGGTACAATTGGGGTTGGCAGGGCAGGAATGTCCTCGTTTGACCCTAACGGTGACATCCGCAGGAATGTTATGCAAATTATTACACCGTGAAGAGGATGAGGGCCAATTAAGAAAAAAAAAAAAACAAGGTTGGCAAAATTCTCACTTGAATCTCAGAATTCTGACTTTAAAGTGAGAATTCTGACTACAACTGAAACAAATGTATCGATAGATCCATCCATTCGTCGTGGTAAAACGGACTGGTTTTTCATTTGACTTCCAAGTTAGGTCTGTGTCAAATGTGTCTGACTCCTAATACTTGAAATAATACGACGAAGAAAAAAACGTGGACCAATGCGTCAATACGTGCGTTCTAGACGCCTGACACCACATCCGTGAAAAAAGGTCTCAAAATGAAAAACTGTGGTTCAATTGATTATAAACTAACAAATAGCGTGTTTGTGGAAAAGGGGGGAGGGGTGGGATAAAATGTCGCAATCCAGATTTTGAAGGCGATAACGGGAAGTTGCATTTATTTAAACACAAGCCCCGTTCACACGGCAACGTTTGGTCCGACGCTGTGCCGAAACAGATCCAGTCGAGCGTTCACAGGTGCACATTTGCTCTGACGTAGCTCCACTAAAGAGCTTATACCGGACCAAATTTGATCCACCTCAGGGAGGTGGTTTAAAAATTTGCTCCAGGGCAAATGCTCGTTTGCGACGCTACGCCGGAACAAATGTGCACGTGTGAATGCAGCTGGGTTAAATTTGCTCCAGAGCAAATGCTCGCTTGCGGGGGAGTGGCCTCGCTACGCTCGCTACCAGATGCACGGAATCCGCCCCCGGTCAACAGTGACGAGGGGGCCAGCGACACACGAAGCCCAGCCGTGCACCCCCGTTCCCGGTAAAAGTGTCGGCGATTTAAGCGGTGAAGACAGCGCTCACGATCAAGAAGAGAATCGAGCCCGACCCGACCGGGCCCGAGGGTATTAAAGCCCGACCCGGCCCGAGCCCGATCACTTAGCTTGATTTGCAGGCCCGAGCCCGAAGCAAACCCGACATTTCATATTTTATTTGTGAGTATTTTTGGGAGAAAAAAAACACAAGATTTCTTACGGTTAAAATAATC